TCCTTAATATCACATATAGCTTCAAGCAAAATACGTTTGAAGTTGCATTCTGGATATGAGGAATTCCTGTAAAGTACCATTAGATACAAATTTCTGAATCGGATGAGGGTGTATTGAAATGTTTTTCTTCCTCTAGTTAGATCTGTTTGACAAATAATACTAGCTTCCGAAAACTTTTCGTTTTTAATATAAATTGCGATACCCCTTTTATCTCTGACTCCACCATCAGTGCGATTGCAATCTATACGTGACAATATTGAGAAATTGTCAAAGAACAGATCTTCTTCCGGGCATGTCCACGTTTCCACAAAACACAATAGGTCACAATGCATTAGAGTGACATCGCTAGAAATGTCAGAATGATGAGCACTCAGACTTTGAATGTTTTGAAAATATATAGTGAAACTGTTATTTGATGCAATAATATTATTATGCTGCAAGCGTATGGCTTTATTCAATTTAAGCCGTTCCAATTCTATTTTAACAACATCAGAGTTGGTGTACAAAATACTTTGTACATACTTTTGAGTGCGATTGAGGCGCTGGGAAAATGTAGCAATAAAAAATAAATGTTCTAAAATTAAATATTTCCCAGCCGCCATAAAACATAACATGTGAAGAATTCGGTGATCTTGTGCGCTGACGCATACGATAATGTGAGAGATAATAAAGGTTATGACCCACACGCACAGATATCGATGCGCTCAGTAGATGTGCAAGACCACTTGAATGAAATGACAAGTAGCCCTGCAATGTTCTCCATTCAATATTAGAATAGATAAGAACAATTGTGTGGCTGCGACTAGGTTAAGTTAGATTAGTTAGAAAAATATTTTCATAATAAAATCAGAATTGAATCAACAGCCAAACCATTCGGTTGGTTTTCTCTTCTCGCTCAGTTGGAGAAAGGTTTTGGCGGTGTAAATGTTCCATTAATGTATAGCCCACTTGCTCTACTACAAGCGACATAAAGAGAAGCCCTACTCATACCTTTCCGAACATGAACGGCAACTTTTTCATACGTTGCGCCTTGGCTTTTGTGTATGGTTATACCTTTTGCAACTACCAATGGAAACTGCAAGCGTTCTATATTTATTTGTTCATTCCGTTTGTACTGGAACGTTCGGCGGCACTTTTCAATAGGAGTCCATAATAATTCTGTGGGGTGTGGTTTTTGTCTTCTCGCCATTCTTCCAACACTTTCATCAGAAAATAAGATCCAAAGCGTTATTGGTTTTGTTGAATTTCTACTAAAATCAATATGCTTCAGTATACCAGTAGCTCCATTGACTAGACCATCGTTGGTATCAATATTGATTGTCATCATATATTTTGCAGTCAACTTCAATTTAAGTTCACTACAAAGTCCTTGGGTTTCTGAGGTTTTTAAATTGAGAACAGAACCTAAAATTTGATTCCGTTGACCGATAGCTAATGAATCTGACTTCAAAATATCGGATGCTTTGGAAACAAATTCTTCTGATGCGATATGAGCCAATCTAAGGGAATTATAATTATCGGTTTCTTTGTTTGACAAGAATAAATGAATTGCTTCATTTGGACACCTCCGATGTTGGTGTCACCCTTTACTTAATGAGCGAAATATCTTCTTCAGTCATTTCTCCAGTTGACATTCGGTTCAGTGCAAACGCGAAATCTTGGTCCTCCCTTTGTCGCATTATCTCTGTTAGCTCATTAAAGGAAAAAAGATCCCACAAGCCACCCCCTGTGAAGATGTGGTATGGATTAGCGGTATTGGTACTAAAAATCCATTTATCCCCAACTGGAGGCAGCTGTTTTAGATCTCCGAACAAAACTATAGAGATTCCTTCAAAGGCTTCTGGGGTTTTAAAAATCTGCTTCAGACGCGCATCAAGGAATCCTAACATTCTACATCCAACCATGGAGACCTCGTCTGTAATTATCAATTTTAGATCTGTAAATTTAGCCAAGAGCCTATTAACGAGATCACTGCTTAGTGGGCGTAGCTCTCCTCGGAACTGGTTTACTAGTAGGGAAAAAAGTGAATGTAATGTCGCACATCCAATTCCAAAAGCAGCTTTCCCTGTCGGAGCACTTAATAATACTTTTGGCAAATCCGGATTAGCGCCAGGTACAGAATTGTATCTATAGGTAACTGCCTGATAAATGGTTTTTATAAGACGACTTTTTCCTACACCTGCTCTTCCCGCAACATACTCATTAAATCGAACGTTCAGAACTATATTTTGTAAAAGGCGTTGAAAATAAGACCGCTGTTTAGTGTTCAGCGTTCTGATTAAATACTGAAGTTCTTCTAAATTTACTAAGGGTGGGAGTCTTACTAAGTTTACATTGGCTTCCGATTCCACGCCATCTTCATGCTGGTTTTCCATGTCAAAGACGTTCATATTTTCCCCTAATTCTGGTACAACAAAGGCTCTAAACTCCTCGTCTAAAAGTTGGTCACTTGTAATGTTATCATTACTCGCATTGTCTCCTCCTCCATCACTGTCTTCACGAAGGCTTTGGAGTATATCATACAATTCGCCATCCTTGAACAATTCAAACTGCTGACGGTTCCTTTCGATTATATCCATGTATATAGAGCAAATGTCTTCGTTTCTTCCTGATGTCTTCGTCTTCATTACGCCATGGGAAATATAACATAACCAATGTGCGAAAATAGTCGTCTCTGTTCAAGTCGGCCCTGAATGAGGGGAAACGAATTATCGCCGGGCTTCTTCTTTTATATATATAACCCGAATTATTTTTTAAGCGAAACATAGCCCCGACATCATCCGCATTTTCTTCGTCATCTTCAAAAATATCTTCATGTTCCTCATCATGTTGACGGTTCCGTTTGCGTAATGTCTTAGAGTATGTATAAGTGCAGCGAAAAAAGCCAAACACACATCGCCTAGAATATCCGGTCTTTGAATATAGTGTTCAAGTAAATTCGATACATAAATATCAGTTGAATCAGGAGAAAGGCCTTGCAGCTGTTGCCTTGGTTTTAATATGCGAACACGTTTTTCTGGCAGGAGAGTATTGACATAAACATCACTGTTGCTACACTGAGACAAGTGCATTCCCAAGATGTTGTAAGCTGCTTCTTGGGCTGACACTTCGGATGCAGATATGAATTTATTTCCTATATGCTGCAACTTTTGTTTTACAGAATAGTTCCCTTCACGTATTTCGTTCATTGTTTCTTGCAACAAACGTGAAACACCCCGATTCGACTTATTTATATAGTTAACTATATATGACACGCAAGCATAAGCATCCAGAACAAATTGAATATCCATGTTTGCTTTGTGCATTTTTAAAATCCTCGAATTAAAAGCATTTATTGATCTATCTTTGAAGGATCTTTTAAGAAAAATTTTAGGTTTTCCGATAGAAGATCTGAGGGCGGCAAGATATTCATCTTTGTCCATATTGATTCGTGGGTCTGCCAAAAACTGATCAAAATTGTTTAATCGTTCAGATTTTACGTCTGTTAAATTTGCGTTAAGCAAATTAAAAATTTTTTTATAGTTGTCCTTATGTAAAGCTAATTGGAGCTCATCTATATCATCAGAAAAAGGCAAAAGAAGTTCTGTATTGCACATTGGCGGATATGGTATATTGAATCTACAGAATTTTTGACCTCTTACTTCGCGTTGACATGGTCTGCCATGGTTGTGTTGCTGGTAATTGACTATGTCTCGGATTTCTCTTAAAGACGAATCTGTAGAAACAAATTTATCTACAAAATCCGTTACACGTTGGAAGCTACTTTGATCTGATATATCAAAAATAGGGGTATTACTTAACCAATATATGCCGTGGACATGAGGGGACCCTCGCTGTTGAAATTCGATTCTCCAGTAGAATTTAATTACATTAAATTCATGAAATATCCCCCCATTAGCAGTGAAACATTTGAAGAGCTGTCTTATTCTGTGGTCAAAATACCTGGAACATGTAATAGGATCAGACCTAATTAGCTCGTACCGTTTTTGGTGCTAAATGACATTGCCTCCTGTTCGGAAATATTTCTTCCTTCTGAAATTTTCACTAATATGACGAGCAATTCTGGCCATTGCGATTCAGCGACAGACAGTGTTATAAAGAATGTTGGAATGCCAAATTGTCTGATCATAGCCAAGACTTTCTTCTTTTCTGCCTCCCAATGTGCTGGAGAAGATCGCACGCCTTTCAAAATATGATATCCTTCATCGTGCTGCACTATATTTTGTATGAATCGGTCATTGAGAGCATCTGCTGCAGTAAAATTGCAACCCCCAATTTTCTTCCTCAAACAAGTAAAAATGCTGTTTTTGATTTTAGAAAACTCCAATTTTTTATACGAGTATAAAACTTTGTGTACCCGCGCACATCTTCTATCATAACGCCTAGCTTCAGATTTTATCACTTTTCCAATTGTGGCAGTAGATGTTCTTTTAATACCACAGTATATAGTGGGAAATGATAACTCTTCAGAGTCCTCATCTAATAGCAAATCCATGGGTCTATGACCTTCGCCAGGAGCTATTTCAATATTTTGAATTTGGACATTTTCGACGGGAATATAATCCAGTAGGGTTTCTTGTGGGTTTTGTTCGTCAATCTGATCTTCATCAATGTTAGAATCGATGGCGCGCGATAACAGACTTCGATCTTCGGAATTAGCAATAAACGGCACTTGGTCAGCAGGTCCCATATTGGTCAACCATTCGGGGGAAATACAAATCTCATGTTTCCTGTACAATTCGGTTTCAATGAGATATCTCGCTGCTTCGAAAATTTTACCTGGCCGAATCGTTTCAGACATAAAATAGTGTGTGTAAGACATTCTTCGCTTCAAATGAACCTGGATAACTTCAGTTTGGTCGGTCGTTCGTGGAAGGATGTTGACAGTGGAGGCAAGTGAAATGGGGATATTTACTACTGCACCCCTTACAGCACACTGACGATTAAAACCTAACGATTATAATTCTCATAAAGGGAAGTCGTGGTGCAACAAACCTTTCTTCCAGCGATGTCAATCCTTGTAGTTCACTTGGAATAGGTGGAAAATGCAGACCTTCTGAAAGACACATAGGCGGAATCTTCCCCGCATTTATTATTTTGTGGCATGTGTTGCAGAATTTATATGTATCGTTTTCAGATGGAAACTGTTCTGAAAGGAAAAAAACTTCATTCAAATTTGGGTATTTTTGTAGAATAGATGTTTTAAGGAGTGTCTTAATTTGAGTAACAAACCAAAGACCTCCACAACAAATACAAACTTCTGTGGGTCCACTCTTGATGACATTGCAAAACTCGGAAAGTATCCTAGATCTGTGCCTCAAAGTATCTTGAACTCGCTGTTCGGACCTCGACTCCGGCGACAAATTTCTTCTCCTTGCTGAACTTCTCAGAGCTTGTCTCATGTTTATATTTTCTCTGTTTATTGGATCCATACGATGAATAAGGACGCGGCAATTTCTCATCCTGCTTTCTGTTTCTTGTATTTGCAAAGCAGCTTGTCTGGTGACACGACGAGCTGAGGTGTTCCGCTCCTGTTCCATAATACGGAAAAATGGATTTCTTCGACGTAATCTATGCATTGACGTGTCCCTCTCTCTTTCGGCTTGGCGGTATTCTTCATTTTGTCGCAGAATAGATCTTACCAAAGTGTTCCTCTGTTGTTCCTCCTCTCGGTAAGTCGGATCCATTCTCCGAATAGAATGGGCCACAGTGTTCCTCTGTTGTTCTTCCTCCCGGTATGTTGGATCCATTCTACGAATAGAATGTGCCAAAGTGTCCCTCTGTTGTTCCTCCTCTCGGTAAGTCGGATCCATTCTCCGAATAGATTGGGCCAAAGTATCCCTCTCTTGTTCTCCTGCCCGAAATGTCGCATCCATCCGATGGATAGTGTGCAAGGGCATTCCTCTCTTGCTCTTCAGTGCGATACGTCGGATCCCTTCTTCGTATTGAGTGGTCCACCGTATCCCTCCGTTGTTCCTGCTCCCGGTACGTTGCATCCATTCTCCGAATCGAATGGGCCAATGTGTCCCTCCGTTGTTCTTCTTCCCTATACGTTGAATCCATTCTTCTATTAGTGTGAGCCAAAGTGTCACGCGCCTGTTCAGTTGATCGATAATCTGCATTCATTCGATGAAAACGATGTATTATTGCAACAGTGTTAAATATTTTAGAAAACTTTTCCGTTATTATTTTCTTAGTGATTGGCTTCTGTATTGTTTAACGATTCGTTATAAACTGATTTGCTTACTTTGAGTATGTTTATTATATTGATAAATAATTCCTGGTCAGGTAAGATATTTTGTAAAAATCTGCATAGAATAACAGGTATCTGAACCTATGTTAACAGGTAGTTTAAAGGAAGTGTTTATTACCGCCAGACATATTTAATTTTGTTATTGTTGCGGAAAACCCTTTGTTGACTGGTAATTATGTAAACAGTACGTATATTTTATTGTTACCAGAACACACCTTGTTCTACCTGTTGAAACTGTACAGAACGGGATCAGGCAAACAAAGACAACAAAAATTCCAACCCTACTACCTGTAGCGATAAAACTGACTTGTGGCTATATAAAATTATAACCACTATCAAACTTCATCCGACGCTGAAATCGAAATACTTAAATTCCACTTATTTTGTGAAAATGAAAATTAGAAGGTACCGTCATATGAGAGCTATATAATAATGTTCAAATGAGTTCGATAACAAAGTGCGTATGTCAAAAAATCGGTTGGAAAACGCGGTTAAAGTTCCCAAGACCTATAAAGTGGTTTGTGCCGTAGATCTATAAAGACAATGTTGTATCCCATTAAATGTCTAAATAGAAAATTTGAAATAATTTCGTAAAACACAATTATAAAAATACCGAAAATCTGGGGTTATTGTTATATAGAAACTGCATGAAAGCGTGGATCAATATAGAAGATATTCAATATCCTAAGGTATTTAGAAAATGTTCGACAATAGTAGCTAGAACCCATTACGCAATTAAAAGCAAATCTGTTAAAAATGTGGATATAATGACCAAAATACCGAATATCGGGAGGACCGCTATATGGAAGCTATACGGAAACCTAGACGTATGCATATAATGTTTCCCCATCGGAGCAAGGACCCATTATGACCAACAAAAACTAATGTTTAGCCAAAACCGTGGAAAAAATAATCAAAGTACTGAATATCGGGAGGTACCTTTATATGGGGGCTATACCAAAGCGTGGACCTATACATGCAATGTCTCGCCACACGAACTGGGATCCGTTATGACCTACAAATACCAATTTTCAGACAAATCCGTGAAAAAATGTGGCATAAATCATCAAAATACCGAATATCGGGAGGTACCGTTATATGGGGACTATACCAAAACGTGGACCGATATATCTCATTTTCAATACCAACCATCCTAGACACAATACAAATTGTTCTGCCAAATTTTGACGCTCTACGTCAAATAATTTGAGCGGTATCGTGATTTCAACAGACAGACAGACGGACATGGTTAAATCGACTTAGAATTTTATGCTGATTATGAATATATATACTTTTTGGGGTCTACGACGAATATTTAGGGATGTTACAAACGGAATGACAAAGTTAATATACCCTCCTTCCAAGGTGGAGGGTATAAAAACGGGTTTACGCAAGAAACGAGTTTGTAACTCTAATCCGACTGAAATTTTAGTTAATACGTTCAAATTTTATATATTTTAAATAGTTGGAATGTATAAAGCACACATTGTATATAAAACTAGAGCTCATGTGGGAACTGTTACAAACTTTTGGCTCAATACAAAGTTAATAGGTGGATTATTGGAAAAGCACAAAATGGGAGACAAATTACACTACATCGAGGGAAGAGATATCAATATATTGTTGGAAGGTGGGATATGCCCGAATATTTGTATAGTGAAGGAATATCAGGAAAACTAGACTAAATAAAACTGACAGATACATAGTTGAAAATGCAAATTCAAGGAATGCCGCACCAGCACAAATTTATAGATGGAATTGAAACTTACGAAAACTCCTGAAAATAAAGATCACACAACAAACCTTGAAATATTTAGAATTTTGACTCATGAGGTTAATTGCGAAAAAGGATATTATTAAAGCCCTCAACTACTATCCACTTCGTCATGCAGTTACAAAGCAAGAGAAATTGCCATCCTTGTTTGAAGTGAGACTTTATACGTTGAAGAAGCATAAAGTCTCACTTCAATTAAGGAAAACGTAAATTATAATTGATTTCTAAAAATGAGAAGCCCAAAAAGGATATTTGGGAGAAAAGAACGAGTTTTAATGAGGTACGCAGTACATTGATAAAATATATGCAGCATAACATAAAACTTTCAATATAACATAAAAATACAAACAAATGCCTAATTTGACATTAACGACAACAGCCGCTTTAAACTATTGTAAATAAATAAGCCACATTGCTCGTGGATTCACATTCGAAAAAAAGCTGTAGTTATGTAATTAACCACAGTATTGCGGAATGTGCTTTATATATGGATACAAAATTAAAGATAATAATATTTAGAATTTATCTTTATATGGAAAGTCTATAAATTAAGTAATTTGGTGAGAGATTGACATATCATTCACGCGTGCCCGATACGATCTTGAAATATTACACAAATATATATATATTTTTTTTGGCAAGTTCAGGATAGAGCTACATCTCCGAATGTTTGAATATAGGAAGTTATGTGATTAACAAAAAGTTTACGGAAATAAATTTTGAACATTTTTTTAAGGGGGAACGAGAAAATTACAATTTCAATTTCAAAAGGTGTGCTAAAATTCCGATAATCCGTCTAGTTTAAATATAATAAATCCAATTTTATTTTCAGGGATGATATTACGATTTAAATTTATACTTTCTATATTTATACTCTCTATGTTTTATACATCCATTTTATTTTCTATATGACTCATTGTACATATATTTTACGATTTCTTGATTGTTTCCACTAATCTGGCTGAATAGTGAAGATTCATGACTCAGCCAGTGTCTTTATACCCTCCACCATACTATGGAGGGTATATTAACTTTGTCATTCCGTTTGTAACTCCTCGAAATACTCGTGTTAGACCCAACAAAGTATATATATTCTTGGTCAGCATAAAATTCTAAGTCGTTTTAGCCATGCCTGTCTGCCTGTCTGGCCGTCATTTGCAATCACGCTATCTTTCGAACGAATTGAGATAGAATTCTAAAATTTTGGACACATGTTTATTTTGCCAGTAAGCGGGTTAAGTTTGTAAATGGGCCACGTAGGTCCACGTTTTCATATAGCCCCCATATAACGGTACCTCCCGATATTCGGTATTTTGATTTTAGCGAAATTATCCTTCCTAATGGTTTCGAGTTAGTATTTGAAATTTGTAATGGGTACTACAGAATATGCCAGAAAATTGTCTTTGCAAGTCCAAGCTTTAGTATAGTCCGCAAATAATGGTAACTCCGGATATTCGGTATTCTGATGATTTTAGCGACATTATTCAACGGAATTGTTTGAAATTTAGTACTTGAAGTTCGTAATAGATATCACAGCCTATGACAGAACATTGTCTTTGTAGGTCCACGTCTTCGTATAGCCGCTATATGACTGTACCTCACGATATTCGATATTTTAGTGATTTTAGCGACATTATTCCCTAGAGTTGGTTCAAATTTCGCATGTGAAGTTCGTAATGGGAACTACAGTCTGTGACAGAAAATTGTCTATGTAGGTCCAGGTCTTCGGTATATTCGGTATATTTGACGATTTGAGGTACAATACTCAACGATTCAAAATTCTTTGAGATGTCGTATTTGAAGTTAATAATGAATGATACAGCCTGTGACAGAAAATTGTATATGCAGGTCCAGGTCTTCGTACCGCTCCGATATATGATTTTAGCTGCATTATTCACCGTTTATTTCAAGTTTCGAATTTGAATATAGTAATGGCTTATGACAAACAAAGCCTATGTAGGCCCACGTCGTATAGACCCCAATATAACGGCTATATTCGGTATTTTTAAAATTTTAACAGAATTCTTAACTGATTTTTTTAAGTCCCAAATTCGTTCCAAGTGGCGGTGGGTATTCAAACTTCGGCCTGACCGAAATAACTGCTTCTTAACTTGTTTTATAATGAAAACGGAATCCAACCTCACACTTCGGTTGTCAATTCTATTCTGGATGATCAATGTATTTTATAATGAGAACGGAATCCAATCTGCGTCTTCGATTTCAATTCAATTCTGTATTCGGCTCGACTGGAGCAATGTAAAAATATGAGAAAAGAATAGAACCGCTTTGGGTATAATTCAATCTAACTTAACCTAATCACAGCCACACAATTATTCCTATATATTCTAATATTGAAGAGAAAATATTACAGGGCTGCTAGTCATTTCATTCAAGTGGTCTTGTAAATCTACCGAGCGCATCGCTATCTGTACATGTGGGTCATAACCTTTATTATCTCACACATTATCGTATGCGTCAGCGCACAAGATCACCGAATTGTTCACATGTCATATTTTATGGCGGCTGGGAAATATGTAATTTAGAATATTGAGTGTTTATTGTTTGATTTTTAGTGCCCAACCGCACTCAAAAGTATGTACAAGGTACATTCTCCCGGGCACATTCGTCTGTCTGTTCAAATCACTGTAGCTTCCGAACGACATTATTTAACGGACATAGCGACATTATTTACCGGAACTATTTCAAATTTGGTATTTTAAGTTCGTAATGAATATTACAGCCTATGACAGAAAATTGTCTGTGCAGGTCCCCGTCTTCGTATAGCCCCCATGTAACGGTACCCTCTGATATTCGACATAATTTACCGGAATTGTTTCAAATTTCACATTTGAAGTTCGTAATGGATACTATAGCCTATGGTAGATAATTGTCTTTGAAGGCTCACGTCTTTGTATAGCCCCCACATAACGGTACTTCCTGATATTCGGTGTTTTTATGATCAGCGAAAATAATCATCAGAATTCTTTCAAATTAGGTATTTGATGTTCGTAATTTGTGCCTATAACAGGAGATTGTCTGTGCAGGTTTCAATCTTCGTATAGTATGGAGTAAGATTCTATGTCGATTTAGCGATGTCCGTCTGTCTGTCTGTGGAAATCACCCTAGCTTCCGAACGAATTCGAATAGATTGATAAAATTTTACTTAAATTTATGTTATGTCTTCAG